TTTTTTTTTTTTTTTTTTTTTAGTAGAGATGGGGTTTCACTGTGTTAGCCAGGATGGTCTCAATCTCCTGACCTCGTGATCCCCCTGCCTCGGCCTCCGAAAGTGCTGGGCGTGAGCCACCACGCCCGGCCAGAGGGTTTCTGTCGAGGCCCCTTCGTCTCTGCTGCTTTAGTAATTTTACAAAAATAGCAGATAGCTCATTCATTGGCAGATAGCTCATTCATTGGCCACTCTGTCTTTGATAGCTTTTTGACAAAAGATACTTGGAGAACATGCTGATACTGTAGGGTTGATCCATTTATTCATTCACTCCCAGGACTACAATCATCACTGCCTGTTTGGAGTACAACTGTCCAACTTCTAAATCATGCCCTGTTGTTTCCCTGCATCTCACCTGCCACTTAATCTTCCCCGAATAATGTTAGCACTTTGAAAGGGACCTAGGCATCTAGCCTCATGTCCTTGTTTCATAGCTGAGGAAACTCAGGCCTAGAAAGTTTCAAGTGACTTGCTCAAGGTTGCATAATAGTCTGTGGCTCCCAATTTCTAAACCTCGTTTCTATACTATACACTTTGTCAAACAATTTTTAAAAAATTCTTGTGGTTGTTCTAATGCTGATTCTTTTGCTCTGAATTATCATAATAACTTTTTCCTTAAGTTCTACTTAAAGCATATTATGTTACTTAAATTTTTGTATGTGTAAACTTAATTGAGTTGTCATAGGTAAGAACAGTACATCTCTTTTGACTCTATTGTTGAACCTACAATCAAACCATCTGTAGATATCCCTGTGGATTATTTTCCTTTGTTACTAACCTGAAATTCTGATTTGTTCAACCCTCCACCCAACCTAAAGAATCACTGATACTGTAGAAGGTAGAATCTAATGCATTGTTCTTTCTTTCAAGAAGGTTTTGTTGAGTTTTTCTTCTACATGTTTGTATTTAAAAACATCACTTTTTTCTAAATGTAAAGTTAGAAATATTAAATATTCTTTTCCATATACACATGTGCCCACTTTATCCCCCTTCCACATCCCAGTTTTAGTAAAATGCCTATCCCCTTTTTCTTTATTGAGAAACTATCTCATAGATTGTCTTTCTGTATCCTATATACTATTTTCCTCCCAGAAACACACCAGACAAGTTCTGCTCTAGGTTCCAAGACTCCTGGATTCTGAGAAATTCAATCTAGGTGCATAGCCCACTGCTGGTCCTTCAAGTTGTGAATTACCCATTTCCTGTGCATCCTGTAGCCCAGGGGTTCTCAGTTTAGCATGCTTAGCCCAGCATGTGGGCTAGGCGTGGTGGCTCATGCCTGTAATCCCAACACTTTGGGAGGCCAAGGTGGGCAGATCACCTGAGGTCAGGAGTTCAAGACCAGCCTGGCCAACATGGTGAAACCCCTTCACTACTAAAAATACAAAAATTAGCTGGGCGTGGTGGCGCATGCCTGTAGTCCCACCTACTCGGGAGGCTGAGGCAGCAGAATTGCTTGAACCCAGGAGGTGGAGGTTGCAGTGAGCCAAGATCTCACCACTGTACTCCAGCCGGGGTGACAGAGTGAGACTCTGTCTCAAAAAAATAAATAAATAATAATTTAAAAACCACCTGTGGAACTTAAGTAAAATGTGGATTCACAGGCCTTAGCTCTACAGCCTTTTTAACCAGTACCTTATGGGATTCTGCTGTTAGTGTTTCTCAGGTCTGCAGCTAGTACAGCAGGGATTGAATGACTTCCCTGTTAGACCCTGAGCTAGCCATACCGTACATGCAATTTCATTTAAGCATTTAAGGATCTGCTAACTCCACTAGGTAAGTGTTATCATCCTTATTTTATATAAAAGGAAACTGAGGCTCAAAGAAGTTAAGTGAAAAGACTTGTTACAGCCATGTTTGCTTCCACTCAACCCTAGTATGAGTTCGTTGTTGTGGAAAGAATTTATCTGGAATGTCTTGGTGAAAAATAGCTGTTTTGGTCAATTTTATTTCTTCAACAAATACGAATGATTTATGTGGCAGGCACTTTTGTAGGCACTGGGGATATGGGGTGAATAGGACAGACACAGTTCTGCTCTCAAGAAGAGTATCTCTATCATGTGAGCCAGACATAAAGCAAACAATTATCTAAGTACGTTTTGATTGTATTAATAGTTCTGATTAGTGTTATTTATTTATTCTGTGTTCCTAAGTCCCAATGGTTTGAAACTGACTGATGATAAATAATAGAACTGCAGAATTTATAACAATAAATTTGTTACAGAAAAAGTCTTTTTTTTTTTTTTTTAACAGTGTAAGTACTCTTGTTTATTCCGGAGGCTACTAAAAATTAGAACATATGAGGCTGCGTGGCACAAGTAAAGAAAACTAGCCTGCATGTCTTGAGTCCAAGGTTTCTAGTGATGGTGCTGCCACCAAGAAGCTGTGGAAGTTTGGGCAAGTCTCTTACTCTTCCTGAGCCTTGACTTTCTTGTATATAAAATTAGGGAGCTGTTATAGGTCTCAGGTTGCTTCATGCTCTGGGGTATGTCTGAGTTTATTGTGGGCTGAGATGTGGGTAAGAGGTACTGTTAGGAACTGTTGTCAGGACCAGACTTAGCCCTCAATTATGTGTGCTTCCTGCAGGAACACCATGCTGAGCCTTTGCCTTGAGAATGCAGAGCTGAAAGAGCAGATGGGAGAAGCAATGTCTGATGGATGGGAGATCGAGGAAGACAAGGAGAAGGGCGAGGTGATGGTTGAGACTGTGGTAGCCAAAGAGGGTCTGAGTGAGAGTAGCCTTCAGGCTGAGTTCAGAAAGCTCCAGGGAAAACTGAAGAATGCCCACAATATCATCAGCCTCCTCAAAGAACAGCTTGTGCTGAGTAGCAAAGAAGGGAATAGTAAACTTACTCCAGATCTCCTTGTGCATCTGACCAGCACCATCGACAGAATAAACACAGAACTGGTTGGTTCTCCTGGGAAGCACCAACACCAAGAGGAGGGGAATGTGAATGTGAGGCCTTGCCCCAGACCCAAGAGCCTTGACCTTGGGGCTACCTTCACAGTGGATGCCCACCAAGTAAGTGTGGGCTTAGATGGAACGAAAAACAATTGGAGAAGGGCTCGAGATGACAGTGTTTACCTTAAAACATTCTCCCATGTGAATCAGGAGGTACCAAGAGAAGGGTCTCTTCGTACCACAAACAGTAATAATAATATTCAGTCTACATTTAGCCTTTAGAAAGGCTTTTATAACATAAATATTTCTTGAGTACTTAATTTTTCAGATCACCCACTAGGCATTGGCATGGGGCAATAAAACCAATGGCTGCCCTTGAGATACTTAATATGGTAAGGAAAGATGGCACACAAACAGGTAATTTTAACAGGATGTGGTAACTGCTGTAACATAGGGATGCATCAGTTAGGAGGCAGCCCAGACAAGTAGTATGTAATGACATCCCTTCCTTATCACTGCCATTTTTTTTGTCACAGCCCATCACAGGTGTCTGTTCCTGGGCCTCAGATGGGTTATTGGGATCCTCTTTAGGGAAGGAGCCATGCTGAAGATTCAGTAAAATGGAGAATACAGGGATTCTGAGAGAACTAATGGGACAGAATGCGAGGGGAGATGAGTGGAGGGTTACACCCCTTCTCTTTTGTACCACTGAGAAAATATTTCCTGAGAGCTCCTCTGTAGACTTGATTGGCGCTGTGCTGTGTGCTGTGGATACTGATATGAAGAAAACATTATCCCAGTGCTTCAGGAGCTCCATCTGGAAAGCAATTCACTGCCAAATGGCATGAGAAGTGCTGTGACAGACTTGAGTAAAGTCCA